GTTTTGCCTGTGCTTCATGACATGCTTGATAATCCAGATGGAGCTCCAGAAGTTTATCTAGGTATGTTACACCATTATTTTTGTCATTTGTCAGTAAGTCTATCTTATCAGAAATAGAAGAACCTGTCTGTTAACATGCAATTTTCTGTTTTCTATCTAGATCCTAAGGAGCTGCAAGGTCGCTGGTTTGGAAGGAATAAAGATAGTGTGGGAAACCTTCTTTTCAAGATGTTTCGGTACTATGCAATTGAACATGATGTTGAGAAACATGTTGTTTCAATTACTCAGTTTCAACCTTATTTGAGGCAAGCCACCAAGTGGAATGCAAAACGTATTGCTGTAATAGGTAACATTTCTGAATAATTTAAAACTATACCCTTTAAGGTGGTCTTCAGTTACATGTACATTTGATGCTTTCTTCTTTTTTTATCTATCTAGATCCTTTTCAGCCTAAGCACAACATATCTAGATACATATCAGCTAATATGTACGACTATGTGCACTTTTGCCTTGTTACTACTACATGTTCTCTTGGCATTCCCCAAAGTGAAGCAGGGCCTTTGTTTGGGTACATAGGCCCACGACCAGAACCCTCCTCATTTGAGCAAACTCCTTCCATTCTCAAAGAATATCTTTCAGTGTCTGATAAAATATATGAACTTATTTTGCGGGTTGGTATACTTCTTACCTAATTCTTGCTTGTGTAAAATTTGTGTCTGATCTAATCTAAGTTAATTAATTATCTCTATCAGCTTGATAATTCTTATGAAGTGGCTGATTTACGGAATGATAATGAAGAAAATGTGCTGAAAGTAAGGGAAGAGTTAAATAATTCTAGAGTCTATCAAGAGTTATACTTCAACTTGCGAGTTGTTCCAAGTGCTCCAGACAGCTTGGTACCATCTGCACCATCTAAAAATGCATACTTGCATTGGTGGGTCACTCCTTACCAGGCAAATACTCTTTCTGCACATTTCTTGCCCAGTGCACAGAGGTTAACCCTCACTAAGGAGATGTGTGTTGACAATGAGGTATGTTTTCTTTTGCATCTTCTTTAAAATACAATCATTAAAGATCTTGCTTATTGTAATGGCAATAATACCTGCTTTTAGCTACCACCTGTAGTATGTACTTCTTGCCACCGAAGTGGTCATCTCAGGGAAAAGTGTCCTGAAGAAATAATTCCAGACATGAGCCCAATGTCTCCCCCTTCTAAGGATTTGGTTGCCCACTTAGACCACCTGTGTCTTGAAATTTTCAGTGAGTTCATAAATTTAAGTGACCTTGTGACCTTAATAGCTCACTGAAAAACCACCCCAACATTCTGTTATTTTGTTTTTTATTGCCATAACATAGAAACCCGGTGTGCTGAAGACAGTGGATTGCGCGATCGTGCAGAAATACGAGATGATCTGCTTATGTGGTTGAGGCAATTTTACCGTGACATAGATCTTCACCTATTTGGTTCATCTTTAAATGGTTTTGGAGGCAAATCATCAGATATTGATATGTGTCTGACTTTTCAGTCCAATGGAACTGGGGAGGTATTGTACTTTATTTTCTATCTATCCTGTAAATCATCAATTTATCAATGTGGCACATGGCCTTTTCTAACTGGATAATTTTTCAGGGCCTTAACTTTCCTGCATTAGTGGAGGAAATTCAACATGCATTGAAAGGGCACAAAAGTGTTTATCAACTAGTTGCAATAACTACAGCAAAAGTGCCTATTGTAAAATTTGCTTATGGCAGAAATCGTATTCAGGTGGATATTAGTCTGTATAATAGACTAGGTATTATGAACACACAATTACTTCATGCATACTCTATCATTGATCCAAGAGTGCGGGTATGTTTCTTAAAAGTGTATTGCATCTTTCTTAATTTTTTAAAATCTGATTGTGATTGATCTAAAAAAGTACATACATCTTTTCCTCTCATTTTCACCTGAAGCCCTTGGTTTATATGACGAAAAACCTTGCCAAAACTACAGGCATTGGAGATGCTTCACGTGGCAGTCTATCATCGTATGCTTATTCTCTGATGTCCCTATACTTTCTCCAGCAAGTATCACCCCCTGTTATTCCTGTTCTCCAAGAGGTGTGTAAATCTGACCAGTTTTGAATTTTACTCTCTCAGCAGTCACAAGGACTCAAAATTTATATCTATCATAAATTAAAGCATCACTTGCATTTAATATTTTATTTAATGTTGACTTTTTCTTTCAGCTATCTGATCCTGATGTTGGTGTAAAAGTAGAAACAGTTGATGGTGCAAATGTTTATTTCTACAGAAATCAAGACAAGCTTGTAAGATTTATCTTGATCTAATCTTTTATATTTGATTATTTTTTGTAAAGCCATTTACAGGATTTTTTTAAAATTGTTACAGGATGATGTGTGGCCTCATCGAAATGAAAATAAATCTTCACTTGGAGAGTTGTGGCTCCAATTGTTGGAATTCTATTCATCAAAAGATTTTCACAGCTCTCAACGAGTTGTTTGTATAAGGAAAAAAGATCCACTTTACAAGTTTGACAAGCTTTGGACTTCAACCAATATCTGCATTGAAGACCCATTTGATTTAAATCATAACTTAGGCTCAGGGTTGTCTAAAAGAAGTTAGTAGTTCCAATACAAATGCAAACTACTTTGTAAGCTTTTTAAGTTTAAATCTTTACCTCCTAAACTTTTCTAACTTTGTTTCAGTGAACATTTTTATTGTCAAGACTTTCCAAAAAGCCATTAAGCACTTCTCATCCTTCCCAAAACGAGATGGGATGCCACTAGAGGTAAATATGTCTCTAAGATGTCTTCTATCTTGTTGTAAAACATATTGTATCAAATCTTATTAATATTTTTTTCTTTCAGAAATACTACTTCAATGAAAATGCTCTCTCTGTTGGGAAACCACCTAGTGATCGTGGTTGTCACTTCTGTCGTTCTATTGGTCATGTTCAAAATGATTGCCCTAAACGTCTCATGATGTATCAGAGGGGACAACAACGACCTAATGGACGTGATGGACGCGACAACCGTGAAAACCGTGATAACCGTGGCCAGCGGGGAATTAATCAACGTCAAAATCATACGTTTGAAAATTTCAACAGAGGTGGCAATAGGCGAGATCCAGCTAGGGACAACCACAATAGAAACCGTGATCCTGGTAGAATTTCCAATATGCCAATGATGAACCCGAATGTTCCAGTTGGAGGCATGTACCAAAATGCAGGCAAACCTAATATTCCTCAAAATAGGTCCATGAACCTCCAGAATCATGTTGTGGTTGGCAGTATGAAACCACCCGGGTTCCCTGCTATGCCACCAGGCATGTATGGACCCCCTCCTAGACTCGTACCCCCACAAATGGCTCCTCAACTTGTACAACCAATGCCAACTGGATATAACATCCAAGGAGGTGTGCCCCCTTATTTATTAGCTCGCCCGCCTGTTCGTCCGTGGCAATAATGATGAAGGTATTACAAATGTCATGAAATGAATGTTGAAGAAGTGAACATTATTGTAAGTTTATGAAGCCAAGGCTGTGGTTTTATTTGTAGTAGACATTCCTTATGTGTTTATTTTAAATAGAAGTTACCAGTGAAGCTTATTTTCCGGCATGAAAATTTGTTGGTTATTCTGTTTATTTTCCTTATACAATGATATCATTATTATGATACATCAAACTCTTTATCATGACTGATTGATTTAAATGCATTATGACTTTTAAAAAATACAGCTTTATTGGCTTTAAATGAGTCCTGTTTTATGCGTATAATGTATCTGTTGTGGTTTATATACTTTTATGATTGGATATGATTTGAACTTTGTAAAAATGTACCACATGTATAAATCTTTAATTTTGGTTAGTGATTTCTGTTTGTTTTTGTTTTCTTTTTGTTTTTTGTCTCTGTGATGCTTTTATGCATATTCATCACTAAGGAAGTCATTGGCCTTTCATTATCAGTCTGCAAGTTCATGAACAATCAAAATGTACAATTTCTTTCTTGTTATAAGTTTTAACCGCATTTTATGTGGTATCATTTTACCTTCTATTTAAAAGAATGCCATTTTGAATTGACACTTAATTGCATGTTTTGTTTTTATTATTGTGATCCCCAATTTACTATGTACCTCTGAATTATTATTTTGTACATTTCTTTAAAATGTCATAATTTAGGTAGCAATTGTGGTCTTTTGGTCAAGTTAGCTGTGGTATTTGTCTTTCCCAATTTTACAGATAGCAAGAGATTTACGGTAAACGCTGCTGTCAGTTCAATAGCAGGTATGTCAGTGCCTCACAGAAATTCGACTTCAGCAAGGGATGTAATCAAACTCATTTAATAGGCAGTGTAGTAAGGGTCAGCGGGTAATGTATTGATTTATGTACATCATAATTTTTGCTGTATTTAATGAATTGATCAACCAATTATTGAGGATCAGGCTTCAATCTGATTTACTGTTGTAAAAGAAAAGAAATTACTAGACTTTTTATTTTGTTTTGCTCGTTCCTTGACGGCTGTGATACTTTGTTTCGCCTTTCTCTTTAAATTCAAAGACTGTCAATTTTTGTTAACAAATCCTAATGAAACTGGTGTGTTTGTAATGCAGTGCACGGTAGATCTCTCACCTAGTAAACTCAATTCTGAATTTAAACAATTGTCATACCGTCATTGGTATATATTTAAGATGATTTCAGTTTGAATGAGTCTAAATCACGCTAGGTATGTATTAATGAAATTTAAATGGCCAAAACTATTTTACTGTTACTACAGTAAAGAATTCTTATAAATTGTCCTAAATCTTGATCTTGGGGTTGTTAAAATATGTTGTAAAAATTCTAATGAATCATTCTCTTGTAAGACAAAGACTTTGTGAAGGTCCTAATGTGATTGTGTTTCCTTTTGTTTTATTTTCTACTTGACTTAGTTGTACTATTTTAAAGAGATACCAAGTATGATAAATATTAATTTTATTTTGTGTTTTATTTTGACTAGGCCATATTTGTGGTAATTTCCTTTTCAAACTGATGGTCAAGTTGACCCTGCATATTCATTAAATAATCAAGTAGCCACCCACACCACAACTGATATATTTGGCCCATTGTTCCTCAGGGTTTTGATCCGACTCATCGGCATTTAGTTGCACCCCTGGCTAGGCCACTCTCAGCCAAACCCTTGACCCGAAATACCACTTAGATTGAGATCAGCAGTGTCTGAAGAACAGTTGCAGCCAAGGATTATGTTGTTGGTCGGTTCCATTGTGTGTTTTGCTGCTACAACAGTGTCGTCACAAACGGATCTGCACACTATGTGATTGGGCAGGCCTTTTTGTCTAACAGTGCAAAACAGAGAATTAATTTAGACTGGCTGAGAACATGGATTTCATTAAATATGTGGTAATCTAGGTAACAAATTGTTTTTCTAACACCATAATTTTCTATTTAAGATGAGCTTTATTTTTTTAAATTGCACAAAAGCATTTGTTGGGAAAAGGAATTGAACGTGCTAAACAACCGCAGGAGGAGGTTTTGTCCAGTCCACAACTCTTTTGTCATGCCAAATGTAGGCACCACGTGGTTGTGCAATATTCTGAGGAAGTAAAGACAAGTAGATAGCGGCAGCAGCACCTGGAAGTAGAAATTCAGATTCATGTTGTGATTTTAGG